ATGGAGCTGCTAAGGTATGTTGGAAAGTATCTCAAAGGATCGCCTGAACTTACGTTGGTACACCAGGAAAGCTACCCTGGAAAGAGTTTTCTGGAAGTGAAGAACAGAAGCAACGAAGAAAAGGTCGAGAGAGACAACTACAAGATGCCAGCGCTCATAGAAGTGATAAGCGACAGTGATTGGGCAGCAGATCGAGAGTCAAGGCAAAGTGTTTCATGCCGAGTGACCATGGTGAATGGAAACCTGGTTCATTTCCAAAGCAAGAGGCAAAAGAGCGTAGCATTGTCACCTTGCGAAGCTGAGACAATCGCAGCGACATCAATCTTAAGCGAAGGTGTATTCCTGAAAGGATTGCTGAAAAGAATCCTAGGAGTTGAGCCAAGACTGATGTTATACAGTGATTCGTCAAGCTCAAGACAGTTGATCTCAAGAAAAGGCTTAGGCAGAGCACGCCATTTACAAGTGGACCTCTTATGGATCCAAAGAATTCCGAAGCTCATTATAAAGGCGATAGCCGGTAAGGACAATCCCTCAGACCTAGGGACCAAATCCCTGACACGGGAGAAGATACGAAAGTATATGCTAAGCCTAGGATACACAGGTGAATTTTTGACACCAAGTGATCAAGAAGTCCAAGAAGCTGAAGTGAGAAGGACAAGAACAAGAAGTGTTACAAGGTTTGATGAAAGGATGATTACAAGGATTATCCAGACGGTTACGACCGCAGTGTTGTTATCGTTGACTGAAGCAAGAAGATTCGGTGAAGAAGGTGAACAAGGACTGGGAAGAGCAAGTGTAGTTAGCATACTGTTGTGCATGTTCATAGCAGCGATTATGCATAAAGTTGCAAGCGCAGCCGTTTTGCTCAAGAAAGAAGTCTTGAAGAAAGAAGAAAAAGAAGAAGGTAGGACAAGAGCAATGGCCGATGATGACGCAGTCAAGTATATGATTACAGAGCAAAGCAGAAGTATTGAGGCAACCAATTACCTCGGAAAAGTGCTTAGACAAGAGAGATCACAAAGACCAGGTGCTGATGACCTCTGGAAAGAAGTAGAAGCACTCAACCAAAAGTATGAAGTCAAGGTGACTGAGGAAAAGAAGGAAGAGCAGCCAAAGAAAAGGGAAGAAAGTGAAGCAGCGTCGGATCCAGAGTCCGTGCCGGCCGCTGCAGCCTCAGCCCGCCCACGCCCACTCGGAAGCCGATTAAGCCCAGCAGGTACCTGAAGCCTTCCATGAGCCCTTTCCTGCATCTTGCCTTGCTGCTCCGTGCTGCCCCCCCAGGTTTCTTTGAGCCTAAGCCAGCACCTCAGCCGCCGAAGCCTATCCTTGCATGTGCCAAGATGCTCGTCAGGGCTGGCCTCCGTTGCCCTTCATGTTTTCAAGTCAAACCTCAGTTTGCATCCCCAGGCGCGCTGCCTCCAAGCTGGCAGGCTTGCTGCTGACCCTCCAGCAAGCTTTTCCTCCTATAGCAGCCTATTTTACTGAGGTCGCGGTTGATGCGTGCCACTATCAGGGACCGTCAGCCTTGCTGGACTCCGAAGGAGGCCCAGAAGCCTAGCCTTTCAAAGCCTTGCCAAAAGAGCTGCGCAGCATTTGCCTTGATGCATGTATCACCCTCGGGGTCTCAGCTCAGGTCATGCCTTCTTCAGGCCCGGTCCTTGGTTTGCCAAGCTTTTTTGCCACCCTATGTCCCGGCCAGGCCACGAGTCAGCCAGCCGGGGGAGTTCACAGGACTCCTGCCTTCCTTTGCCTCGCGAAACAGTCAGGTTTTCTTGCTTGCGATGCATGTGGCACTCCCCTCAGCATTTTCTGTCACAGCGCCTATGGGAGCTTCCGCCTCAGCCTCAGCCATGGCGTCAGACCACAACCCTCTCGCCGACTGGCTGAAGACGTTGCCTCCAGCCGAGCTGGACAAGCTCAGAGCCATGCATTCTGCCTCAGCGCAAGCAGCAGCCGACACAGCCGTACAGGATGATGCTCGGCCTTGCGATAGTTCTTCGGGCCTATCCCCACGTAGCCTTCTTATCTACCAGAACCAGGAAGCCTTTTACCATGCACAGGACGGATGTTACACAGGCCCTATTCCAGCTTGTTTTGACTACGTCCCGCCTCAGGACATGGAGGACCTTGATGAAGCCGACACGGCTCAGCCTTCCCAGCCTTCAGCAGCCGCAGCGGACGCCGAGGCAGCTGCCGTGACAGAGCAGCCCATTGAGGCCGAAGGCGAATATCTGCCTATGGAGGAGCCTTCTTCATCTACAACCTTTCATGCCGAACCACAAGCAGGCCTTTATTCCATGATGGGGGAACTCATAGCCATGCCTGCCGTCGTCACTGCAGCCACACACCAACAGCCTTTTCCACTGCTATTTTTTGACCCCGAAGCCAAGACCAAGCCGATCAACCGCCACGAGCTGTGGCAACTGATCAGGCGACCCGATCTGGGTGTGGCCAGGGAATCCGGAGCCTACTTGACAGCCGACAGGTTCGCGGTCAGCCCTCCGGCTAGCTTTTTTCCGTCCTTCCCCAACACACTCCTGAGCCGGGACGTGGACACTTCGCCGATGCCGCACGCCAAAGCCGATCCCCCACCGGTCAAGGCCGTGCCTACTGGAGCCATCCCGCCGCCGGCGAAGCAGCCTCCTGCCTCCAAGCCTTCCGGCCCCAGAACTGGAGGCCACCGGAGCCCAAAACCAAAGCCATGCCGCAGGTGCAGCACCAGCCGCCGCCCAAGCCAAAGAACCCGTGCCCTCCACAGAGCCTTCCCCACCCCCAGCGCCCAAGCAGGGGGAAGCTTCCACATCCAGCCCACCGCCTGCCCCGAAGCCAGCTTCTAGCAGTTCGGACCAGGCTCCCCACTCAGCCTTGCAGAGCCATACCAGGGAAGGCGTCTTCTTCGAGCCGGAATTCCTGCCAGCCGAGCACAAGCCCAAGTACTCGGGCCCTTACCGCCCGGCCAAGCCTTCGGACTAGCGGTTATCTGGAACTGCCGCACCTGGATCAACTTTTACGGCGGCGAGCCCCCAGCCACAGCCGCGCAGATGTCGAGTCCCACTTCTACACGGTCGAGGCAGGACCAGCCGACACTCAGCCTTCGGGGCCACAGCCTAGCCAGGAGCAGGAAGCCCCGCCTTCCGGGGAGAACGTGGAGTTTCCGCCTTGCAGACCACTCCCAGAGTGGTTTTCAGCCGATGCGGGGGTGCTTCGCTATTGGCACTACGGTGCCACTGGAAAGGGCAACCCCCGCAATATGGGGAAGCAATCAGTCCCTGCTCTATGCCTTCAGGATCCGAAACGCCTTCCCGAAGCCTTGGTCGACCGGCGTAAGCAGATCACAGTGGAGCCTCCCTCAGAGCCTTACCTCTACAAGCCGCCAGCCCTAGCCCTGCCAAGACTGCCTTGCCCGAACATGCGCAACTGCATCATCATCCCCAGCCTTACGCTGCCCCACACCTACGAGCTCGACCCAGCCTTTGCCCGTATATACTACATGGGCAGCCGTGGTGAGATGCGTTGCGGCCTTCCGTGTTCGACCGTGCCTTTCTGCCCTTTCCATTCAGCCTGCGGTCGTGAACTCAACCGTGGTTCGGTTGAGCACGACGACAAGCATTCGGGCCATCAGTGCTCGCGCTGCAAAGAATTTACAGACCTTAACCGCAGCCCTTTTGAATGGCTTTCATCCGTACCCCCACAAGCCTCGTCGGGGTAGCCGTTTGCCTTTACAGCCTTTACGAGCCTTTAACACAGCCTTGCCAACTTCGGACTAGCCTAGCCATAAGCCCTCACAGAGGCTCAGGCATTCGGCGGCACCAGAGCCGCAAGACGGCCGCCATCGGCCCACAAAAAAGCGCGCGCTGCTTTCTCTTGCCTGCTCACCGACCTAGGATTGTGTGGTGGACGTTGGCCTCTGTCTGGGGATGTTGAAATCATTAAATAATGCAACATAAATGCATTTGGAGATATGGACCTGTTTACCCAAATGCAACTTGAAAATGCAGCTGCTTTCCAAATGCGAATAATGAAATGCAAACAAAATGGAATGGTCCTTGAAAAAATGCAAATGCTTTGCAAGCTGTTCTCAAAGATGAATATCATATCGTTGAAATTGTAATAAACTTTGGAAATGCTTCTTCAACCATACAAATGATTTGGAGTTTAGTGTTTTTTCAATCGCCCAAGGCATACAGCTTTTCCCTTCGCTTTAAATTTTAAATGTATGTATTTTTCTCAGCAGCAGCCTGCCGTCTATGGTGGTCTACAGTCATATATGCGCACACTGCACAGTGGATGGACAGGGTGGGGCGACCAGGAATCCGGTTTGGGATGAGATTTGTTTGAGTTGGGCAGGCGCAAGCAGGCAAAATCAACACGGTGCTCTACATTCCCGACTTGACTGTGACTATGTCACTATGTCATTATGTCATTCATTATGTCCTGTCCTATACTATACTATTTACTATTTTTTATAGTAATAGTATCCGTATCCTAGAGTCCTATAGGTCCTATAGGTCCTATCCCTATAGTCCTATAAGTATGCTGCGCAGCCTCATTGACATCGCAAGTTTCACACAGACTCAAGACAACTCAGGGCCTGCGGGCTTTGGAGTTTTAGGACCAGGCTGCCCACACGCACTTTCCAGATCGCAGAATCAGTCAGGGATGAATTGAATGCAGCTCCTCCTGGCCGCTCAGCATTGGCATTGGCTTCGAGCGTCGGCATGCTGCTAGGGCCAGTTTTTTTTGCAAGCATGAACCATTTGAACAGCAAAAACCGTCAGACATCAGAATTGTCCAAGCTTGAAACAAATGTCACGCTGGCACTTGATTGGACAGTGTGCACCCGGACATATTTTGGCTGCAGTGCCAACTGCTAGCTAGCTAGCTGCTAGTGAGCATTCACGTTAGCTGCTGGCGGGTAGTAGTTGGTTGTGTGTGGCAAGTGACTGCAGTCACTGCCTGTTTTTTCCTGAAATACAGCGACTTTCAGAAGCCAGTTCTAGGCCGAGGCCCAAAGCACATTGTTTGGTATTGTTCTTTTCTCGTGGACAAACCACAAGCACGTTTCCGCGCATTACGGCTATGTTATTTGTTTCCTGGAAGCAGTAAGTGCCGACAACTCACAACGGATCTGCCACCGCAGTGCTGTGCGAGCGATGGCAGGGCCAGAAGATCCGGATGAAGATTGGGCTGCTTTCGCATCCCAATCGTTGGAAGATGGCCGAAGGGAGGAAAGCTTGCAGATTCTTTCACAAGACACTTCTGAAGCAGATGCATGCAGAAGTAGTGCCTCAGATGAGGGTGATGATCCTGTAGAGATGGCCGCTCCGTTTTTGCCACCCTCGCCGGATGATGAAGACGTTCCATTGAAGCCAAGCAATGGAGATGCATGGTGGGTGAAGTTGCTGAAGACACACACCGCAAACAAGAAGCCAGGTGGCGTGGTTCCTTCCGGGCTGGTGACGGTGCTGAGTGCGTGCAGTGGTGGCCTCACGGAGGGTTTCGTCCTCCAGGAGATTCGGCACCTTAGGAAAGGGACAGTGTCATAGGTCATAGGTCATAGGTCATGTCATAGTGAGTGTCATAGTCATAGTGACATAGTGTCTGTCATTGTCATAGTCACATAGTCATAGTCACATAGTGACATAGTCATAGTCACATAGTCATAGTCATCATAGTCACAGTCAGAGTCAAGTCATACTCATAGTCACAGTCCTAACCGTCCTTGTTATACTGTTATAGTTATAGTAATAATATAGCAATAGTAATAGTCATAGTCATAGCCATAGTCGTAGCCCATAGCCATAGATGTAGTCATAGTAGTCGTCGTGGTCACGTGTCAGTAGTCATCTGCATGTTTGGGAGAAAGAAATCCCAATCAAGAGTCTACAGCATGTCCAAAGTTCGAGTATTCTGATTCTAGATTCTAGATACAAATCATTTAATGGTTTTTCCATTGAAATGTGGTCACCGTGTCACCATGGGTCACCAGCAGCAATCCTTTAAGAGAGATGTATGCATTGAATCCACACTCTGCCGCAGGACCTTGGGATCGACTTCAAAGTGGTTTCTGTGTCAGATCCGTGTCGGGCCTATCGCGAGTTCTGCTGCGCAAACCACGACAGCATTGAGCACGTTCATTTGAATATGTCAGACCAGATCCATGGCGCAGCTTGTGAGAAGCATTCTCATGCAGAGAGTTGCGTGATCCATGATGAGCCAATGCTTGCGGTTTTGGGCACCCCGTGCCCTCCTTTCTCAGTCCAGAGGGCAAAGCGGTTCAAGAGTGGCACAGTGAAGCATCACAAGTCATACAACACAACTTTCGAATCCGCGCTGCTGTTCCTGGAGACCTTTAACCCTGTAACGGCGGTCCTCGAGCAAGTTCCAGGGTTTGATCAGCTCGAGACTGCTGGCGATTCAGTGACACCGTTGGGAAGGCACCCACCCGCACTGTTTGCTGATTACTTCTGATTGATTGCTTGTTACTGTTACTCTTTGCGGCTGTGGCGGTAGCAGTTTAGGCGGTGTTCAACATCAGCGGCAGGTTTTTCCGGGTAGCATTTGACAGAATATGCAGTTTGTTTGGTCAGTCGATGTCAATGTAGTGAGTGACTGATTGTCAGCAGAGCTGCTTCATGCAACCCATGCGCTATGGCTGTCGGCCAGGTTCCTGCAAAAGCTGTCGGAAGCCGACACCAAGCACGGCTACTATGTTGCAGTCCAGCGGTTGGACCTGGCCAGCTGGATGACGATGTCTCGAACAAGGCAGGGTTGATTGCCACTTCTCGGAAATGGTTGAAGGTTAAAGGTTAAAGTTAAAGTATCGAAGCACGTATTCATTTGCGCGAGAGTTTATCAAGGGTACAGGGTACAATGCAAATATAATTAAATTCAGGAGGTTAGCTAGCAGCTGTTTGCTTCAACTTACTGTTAGGCCCGTTAGGTTAGGACCAGTTACCAGGTGGGAATTTAGAAAGTAGGAATAGGACCATAGGAAAGTTCATCGGCATCTGTTGTCAAGATGAAGCGTGACATGTTTCGCCGATGATTGGACCTCAAGGCCACCCCAACCTCCCCATACACAACTCTATGACTCTATGGCTATGGTGACTATAGACTATAGACTCATAGGTCATAGATTCTGTTCTGTAGTCACTGTAGTCCCTGTAGCCACTATCACTATAATCACTATAATCACTATAACCTCTATACTCTATAGACTCCGATTAAACACTAGAGTCATTAGAGCCACTAGAGTGACTAGAGAGACTCTACATCTATATTATTTCCACAAGAAGTTTTGCATAAGTATAGTGCAATCTCCAGACAAGCTTCAGTCCCATCTTGTTCTTGTTCAATCATATGTAAGACCACAGTTTCTATTCCTTAATGTTCAGGCGAGCAGCTAGCAGCTGCTGAATATTTGTTCCAGGCAGCCAGGAAGTGTGACATGACGTGACTAGCCAGTAATCCTTTTTGCAAAGAGGATTCATTCAGTGGCTTCCGAGTCTCGTTGAAATGCCTTGTCATCTGCCGCCACTAGATTCACCAGATGCCATTGTCTAGCTAGCATCAGGGTTTGAGGGGCGGGGTTTTGGAACGACGGGTTTGGCAAACGTTTTGCTCCGATCTTCTTGTGGCTCGTCACACAGCTGGCAGTGGTGACATTTTAGGCTGGTGAGTGGTTGCTACGCGGCGATTGCAGCCGGCATAGCCACATGTGTCGTACAAGTCAGTGGTGGTGCTGCTAGGCCAGGCTAGGCTGCTGCTAGGCTTCCATCCATGCTTGGCAATCAGGGCTTTGTTGACGAAGCTCATAACACCAGCTTATTGTGTTTATGGAATCTGAACTCTAAATCTCTAAATCTCTGAATTCGAAACTCTACCTTCTTCATTCTCTAGACTCTCTAGACTCTAGTCAAGCTATGTAGTCAACGTAGTCTCTAGCATCTATCGAGAGTCTAGAGTCTAGAGTCTGGAAATAAATATGGCCAATCTTTGCTAGCTAGCTAGCTGCTGGCTAGCAGCTGCTTTTGATGGACAACCCGGAAGAAGATTTTGAGGATTCATGGGCAAGCTTCCTTTCGAGCCCTTCTGCAGATGCGTTTCAGTTGCAGCCCCAACCTGCAAGAGAGGCATGCAGCTCGCAGCCCAAGAGAGGCAGACCGGTCGGCTCCTTTGGCGGACATGGATACAGACGTGATATGAAGGCAGCAGAAGCAGCCGCCGCTGCGCCGGCCCCAGTGGCCCCAGTGACTGCAGTGGTGCCCAGCAGAGGGTCTGAAGGGTGCGCCAGAGCCAGGGCTGCAAAGGCTGCCAAAATTGCCAATGTTCGGCAGCAGCAGCTAGATGCAGACGAGTTACGGTTACAACACTTGGACTTTGATCAGCCCTTGCAGTCCGGTTTGTTGCAGTATCGGAGAATCGGGTCTGATTTGCAGCAGAAGCTGCTGTTGGAGGCGACCCGAAGGTTGTCTGGAGAGCAAACCTCGTCGACATCAAGCAATGCCAGCAATGCGTATGTTCAGAAGCTCCTGCATAAGCTACGGCCCGTGATGTCTTTCACAGCACAGGCGGTTCATGGCGACTCAGATATAGACGATAACCGCCACAACGCCAAGAATAGCTTGTTGCGGGCTGCAGCGGCGATCATGGATGGAGCAAAGATGGTGTGTGGCAATTTTTTCTGTGTCGTGCAGGATGCCATGCAAAATGGAGCCGAACTCTTGCTTCTAGTCAAAAAACGCCGCTATGACGAGACTCCTTTGCGGCTGCGTGCCAAAGCAAGACAGGAGGATGACGATGACGAGAAGGCCAAACCCATGAAAGTCATTCAAAGCGAGATGTCCGTGGGTGTTTTGCTTAAGCGATGTGACAAGTTCATGTTTGTCAAGACAGTGCTACCAAGCCAATTGCATGTTGCTGATGCGGTCACGGCCGAAACGCTGAGGGAGTGTCAGCAGAGGCTGGAAGACATTCCAGAATTGGCCCGGCTGGCACTAAATGCACGCTTGAAGCTGCAGCTGGTAGTGACAGACCGTGCCGCATCAAATATCAAATGCGAATCTGGTATTCAGCTGCACGATGCGACGTGGACAAAAGCACATGTATTTTGCAAAGTGCACAAAGTTGCGCAACAACAGTCGGCAACATCAAAACTTTGTGATGGCCATATCTCAGGTTTGGTCAGTTTGGCGCTTGGCATGCAGATGGCAGGAAGCACCAATAAAATGCGCAAATGCTTGATGGTAGTGCTGCGGAAACGAGTGCGTGTGCATGTAGGCACTCCTCCACTGGACCCGGCCAGAGACGAGTATCGCAACGAGGTTTACGACCTCTGCCTGTCCAAATGCTGCACAAGGGCAGACCGAGCTGAGCATGAGGCTCAGCAAGCCAACAGACTGAGGCAGAAACAGCGTCTTGTTTTCGAACATTTCTTTCATGGAAGCGACTTTCGACAGTATTTCATTGACCTTTTCATTCCTCAGCTTCGAACTTTGGAAGACATCTGGAAAGAGCTCGAGACAAGCCTTGTGCCCTATTTGCTCCCGCATAGATGTCCAATGTTCCATCGAAGCCGATGGACAGGGGGGGACCTGGCATTGGACTGGATGTTGCTCATGAGCCTCACTTTCGACTTGATGTCGGAGGTGGTGCCAATGTGGGCCGGTGCTGATATACCATCCGGCCCTCCAGGCCATGCCGCAGGAGCCGCAGAAGCTGAGGAGGACTGCTGGGAATCACTTTGCCAGGACTTGGTTCCTTCTGCAGAAGTCGGTGAAGGCGGGCAGCAGCAGCAGCATCTTGCCGCAGAGGCGGAGGTGGCTTCTGAGAGGCTCAGTTGGGCCGAATTCAATGCGGCCATGAAGAAGAAGGCAGCAGAATTTGCCATTCGGAAACCGGCTGGGGCATTGGCACTTCTGAGATCGGTGATGGAGTTAAACTTCAAGCTCCTTTACCATGCCCTGCACGTATCGTCGGATGCATGGCAGAACGAGCAAGCAGCCAAAGCTTCCAATGTTCCCTGCAGTCGCATCTTGGACGAGTATGCCGGCAAACATGTGCATCGCTTTGCAGACGAGCTTCAGGAAGCTTTCATGTCGGTGCCCAAGGCCATTCCACCGGCTGCATGTGCCAGGAACATGCGGACACTCCATTTCAGGTTGCTTAGCCGAGCTGGTGCTGCGCATCATCAACTCCTGGAGCGTTTCAGATGCGCTTTCCCCACTCAGATGTTTGGGGCCTTGCTTGGGAATACCAGTGTTTTGACTGCGAAGCCGTGTCTGCTGGATGAGCTTTCGACAAAGGTCCGGCAGATGTTTGGCACGCCAAGCTTGCTTGGCAGTGCCGAGGCTCGGGCAGTCCTGGCCTCGATAGCGGAGCTTTGGGAGCTGGACATAGCGGCTATAGAGGCAAAGCATGCTTCTGTACGTCGGGCATTGACTAGTCGGGGTGTCCAGGCACCACAGCCTTTTCTGTCAGTTGTCAGTGCCGATTTTGTTGTGCAACAATGTGCCAGACAAAATCTACAGCACTCGTCATGGAAGGACCAACAGTCTGCCAGGCTAGGGCGGTTTTCACGGCGCCCACAGACATCTGTCAGTGACTCCCAGAAGCAGAATGCGGCTGATAGCGATGCAGAAGAGGCCGGCCATGAGAGTGAGAACAAGAAGAAGAAACGCAAGCAGGAGCATGGTTCCAAACCCGGCGGTAAATGGAAAGCTTTTTGTGCTGTCAATGCAAAGGGAAAACAAATCAACAAGGAGGTCGGAAAAGAGCTGTCCGACCAGTACCATAATTTGCAGCCAGAAGACGATGCCTGGTACCAGGAGTTGGGCGAGATGGCCAAGGCTGCTGGATTAGCTGGACACAAGCCTTTTCCAAAGCAGCCTGCAGCAGACCAGGGTGTGCTTGTCCATGCCCCTGAGCACTTGACCTCAGCCTTGTGTGCTTTGGGTTCGGACTTGCGCAAGCAAAGTGCAGCTCGAGTGGCCCGCAGCAAGCAAATTCAGGATGCGATTTCTGACATGGCCCCCTTTGACAAGCTTTCTCCAGAGCACAAGGAAGCTGTGCAAACAGTCTGCAACATCCGGGAGGCCGACCGGCAACACTTCAAGCGGAGTTCTTCTCAGGCGGATTCCATGGCGATGTTGCATTGGATACCGCCAGTTGCGCCGTTTGCAGAGGTGGCTGGGTTGCTTTTGAGTGTCAGTCTAGAGTCTAGAGTCTAAAGTCTAGAGTCCTAGAGTCCTAGAGTCCTAGAGTCTAGAGTCTAGAGTCTAGTCAGTCTAGTCTAGAGTCTAGAGTCTACAGACGTAGACGTAGACGTACGTCGTAGTCGTAGTAGTTACTAGTTACTAGTTACTAGTTTACTAGTGACTTGACTAGTGATTAGTGACTAGTGACCAGTGACTAGTGACATGACTAGAGTCACTACTATATGGAGTTTAGAGATTCTAGAGTCTAGAGTTTAGAAGTTTCGAATCTAGAGAATCTAGAGTCTGGAGTCTACAATCTAAGCAGGTTTGTAGTCTAGAGTCTAGAGTCTAGACGAGTGGTAGTCTAGTCACTAAGTCTAGTCTAGTCGAGTTGCCAGTTTGTCACATTTCAGCTGCCCATTTCAATTTTGTCGCAGGCCGCACTTGCGGATCCCAGAATGCGTGGTCGAGGAGCAACTGCTGGACTTAAAACGGGTTTGGGTGAAGCTTGGGAGAAATGCCACAACATGATCGTCGATGAGACATTACCCAGAATCAAAGATTCAGAGTTGGCCGATTTGTTTCAGGCTACAGAATGCCATCGACTTTCCTTGTGCGTTTGCCATGGCAGAGGCGAGCAAGCAAAATTGTGCTGTGACAAGACAATTCAGTTGATCAGACCTTTGCTTGCAGTTAAGAAGCGGACGCGCGGTCCGGACAATAAGTTCATCGAGAAAGAGCCTGAGAGAACCCGTGCTCGGATGCTGGCCGAATCTGCCGAGCTCATTGTTTGCTTCTCGGAAGTGGAGGAGGGCGAGAGCAAGGATTCCGACCGGCAAGCCGAGCACCACTGCGATGGCTGGGCTGATTTTTTAATGGGGGCACCGGCCGGTCAGACCGGCAGCTGCATTGAAGAGAGACAGGTGCCATTGCCGATGGAGCCTTCAGACAAGATTTGGTTTCATTTCGGTTATGTCAATTTCCGATCTTGGGAAAGTACCGGCTTGTGTTTACATGATTGCCCCTCAGATTCAGACTCTGGGGGAGAGGCTGGGCAAGAAGGGCGGCATGAGAGCTTGCAGACATTGGTTGTGCACGACGAGGAAGTGGTTTTTCGGACTCTGTTGGAGACCATGCATGCAAAAATGGATTTGAATCGCTCCTGGCATGCTGAGCTTTACGAGATCGTGTCATTGCCCATTCTTGTGCGGCATGCCAACATGAAGCCGGATCGTGTTCAGGTCCGGGCGATGCGGATGAGTGGACACGAAGCTCCGCTTCTCGTCTGGAAGGGTGCAGCTGCGGAAAAAGCAGAGCGCGAAGCTGCTGAGCAGGCGAAGAGGACACGGGACCAACGAGCTCAGGCAAAGCCAAAGCAGCAGCGAGGAGCAGAGCCTCGCCTACGTCCACATCTTCCTGCTTTGATGGTGCAACAGCAACAGGCATCCCATTCGGCCGTGCAGCCAGAGCCTGGCGACCAGCTACCGTCTGAACCGGCACCGCCTTCGCCAGACTTTCCTGATGGTGTGCCAGACCAGGACCTTGGTGAGTGTGAAGTCTTGGACTTTGGCTTCGACCTGTCGGATTCGGAAACAGAAGCCACACCTGCATGGCTGAAACAAGCTTCTGAGATTATCGACTTGGAACTCCTGGCGGCATCTGCGCTTGATGCTGAGGAGGATGAACTCCTTGAGGAGAACAAAGCAGATGATCCACAAGGTCGGATGGCGATTTCTTTCTAAATCAGGATGCAAACTGCATAACAGAACACGACATGAAAGTTTTTAAAGTAAGTTAAAGCTGAAGTAGCTAGCCGCCGTTAGCCGCTAGCTAGCCGCTATTAAAGCAGCTAAATACACAGCTGCAGCTAAGCCAAAGCAGCTACGCACCTAAGGCAGCTAAGGCTAAGGCAGCTAAGGCAGCTTAGGCTAAGGCACCTCAGCTAAGGCTTCGGGCTTAGCCCTAGGCCTAGTCAGTTTAGGCTAAGGCAAGGCTAAGGCTAAGGCTAAGGGATAAGCTGCCTAAGCTAACAGCAGCGAAAAAAGTTAGGCGTAGATTTAGGTTTGCTATGATATAGGTCCTAGGTTCATAGTTCGTCAGTTAGTCAATCACAGTTAGTCTAACAGTGTAACAGTCGAGTCTAACAATTGGTTAGCCAGGTTTAGTCTTAGTATATCAGCTTCAAATTTAATCAATTTAACAATCCTCATACTTATTTGAGCCATATTTAGTAGTTTAGTCAAGTCATTCTCGTCGTAGTCTTAGTCTTAGCCTTAGTCTTAGTCTTAGTCATAGTCTGAATCAGTCTTTGTCAGTCATTGTCGTCCTAGTCCTAGTGATTGTCATCGTCATAGTTACATTGCTACATAGTTGTATAGTGTCTATCATGATAGCGAATGTGTCCCAGCGAATGTGTCCCGTGCCTGAGTCGGTCTTGCACATTCCGTTTGTACCGGTGCGACTCTGTTGCAGGTGCCGATTTGGCGGCAGCTGCGGCTGCTTCAACATCAGCAGCAGCATCCAGCTCGGGCCGGCCGGTTTCAGACAACACAGGTGCACATGGCCCAGATGGCCCAGGTGGTGTTGCAGCAAACAGGCTCCCTGCAGGGTCAAGGAATGTTGCTGACATGGTGGTTGATGTGCCTGGGGTGGGAGACATTCGCTACTACAGCAAGAACCAGGTCTTTGTGGCTTCCTGTCGACGGCCAGAACATCAGAATTTTTTTTCCGACACTGGTTCTCTGCTGACCTGCAGCAGGAAAAGGACTGTTAGAGCTGCGCCCAAGCTGGCGAAAGATGTGCACAGACGCTCCGGACAAGGCCGCCCCTTAGGGCATCTCATGCGGTGGTTGGAATGTGGATGCGAGGCCGAGGACCAGCCGCAGCATGTGCAGCATGCCAGATGTTTTGATCGAGAAGAAAGAAAGCTTGCTAGGGCAAGACTTGCTCTGTTGCCGGGGGCTGACACTTTGCTTGCAAAAGAACGACCTCGGCTGGAATGGGAATCCGACGACGAACCTCGAAACATTTGAGTGTTTCAGCGACTGCAAAGGCATTGCTATTCAGTCTACTCAGACTCAGACTCGACTTGACTTGCAGCTTGCTTCTGCTTTTCCGATATGCCTCAGTGATTGCCACCGGCTTTCCTTTGCGCAGCTTGGAACAAGTGCCATCAGGCCGTTTTTTCGTAGCCGCTCATTAGTTCATTATAATAATTATAATCATAATCTGACTGAATGAATCTATCCATCTAACCTAACTGCTAACTGTTCTCTGACTCCTCTAACTCTAACCGACTCAACTCTAACCGTTACCGTTACCTAACTCTTTAACTGCTATCTCTAACTCTGACACCTGTAACTGTCGCCTGGCAGCCTCAGCCCTGGGCCCCAGGCCCATATATTGCCATATATTACATATATGCCCTAGGCCCTAGGCTCTTGGCCCTAGGCCCAAGGTTCCAGGCCTTCAGGCCCCAAGCCCTAAGCTTGCCCTAAACGAAAAAACCCTTCAGCCCCAAGGCCTCAGTCTTGAAGCCCCAGGCCCAAGCAGCCCAAGCACCAAGCTACGGTAAGTCCAAGGCCAGGCCTTAGGCTAAGGCTAGGCCAGGGCCCTGAACTTTAAACCCTAAGCCCTAAGCCTTAGCCATAGCCGCTATGCCATAGCCCTAAGTACTAAGTTACTAAGCCATGAATCATTATACATTTAATCCGGCCGGCTAATTGTAATTGGATAACTGGACCATGAACCAATCAAAAAAAATAATAGATTTTGTGGCTTAATTTTAACAGTTACTTTAACTAACATGCAATGTTTGAACCCTTTGAAAGAATGTCCCAAGGCCCAAATCACAAGTCCCAGTCGGGAGCTCTACCCAATTACTTTAGGTCTCTAGGACCCTAGGACCCTAGGACTCCAGGACCTAGGACTCCTAACCTTTCGAGCTGCAGCCATTAAGGCTTCAAGATAAAGTTCTTATAGTATAGTATATGCTGTATGCCCTATGCCCTATGCCCTATGCCCTTTGCCCTAAGCCAATGCCATAAGTCATAATCCAGTCCCGGGACCCAGAACGGAGCTTAAAGGCTTAAAGCCGGACCCTAAACTCCTAAAAACACTCCAAACTTTATAGTGCCGGATGTCCTGTGACAGGATCTATATCGTCTTGTTCCGGAAAGACAAGTACGATCCAGCTGATGTGGAGCTGTTCCAGAGTGTGATGCAGGAGATGCTCTGGCAGCTGGCAGCAGTAGATTCAGTAGCTTTAGTAAATTTAGTAGATTCGATTCAATTTGTTCAAAGATTGAAAAGGTTCAGGAATTCGAGAAGGGATGGCCGGTGTTGAGTAGATTGCTTGCTCTTTGTTGGTGAGGCAGTAACCGTCAATAGCAGTTTTATCCGAATTGAGCAAAAGGGACATTGTTCGGTAGTGCTGCTAAAGTGTTGCTAGAGCGAATTGTTATACAATTGATTGTTGCACAAAATGCAAGATTCAAGAAGCTTTTGGAAAATAACCATCAGTGTCACTATCACTATAGTGACTATAGTGGTGTCTTGCTCCTTCCAGTCGGTACATTCACCAGATTCACTAGCAGTCACTAGCTGCACTAGCTTAGACCTGGGGCCTAGACTCTAGATTCTGGGGTCCTGGGGCCTAGCGGTATTTGTGTGCTTGTGAGAGCAGCTAGCTAGCTAGCTTTTGGATCCTGCTATATGATTCTTCAATCCAACCGAATCGGCTTTCTGGTCAGCAAGCCAGTGGTAGCTATCCAGCTATCTATTCAAATTTAATCCTTAGCCACGCCTGACTAGTCCCCGACACAGAAGCTATCCGCTTTGTGATGTGGGCCAGGAGGTAAAGGAAGCGCAGGAGGCCGCCGGACCAGAAGATGCCGAACAGTTTCTATATGACGAGGAGCTTTCTGCTGTTGATACTGATACTGATACTGATACTGCTGCTTTGATCAGGGGAGCTGCATTTCTGTTTGCAGAAAGAAGCCTTGTCCAGCTCATTTGCAACATCCATGCTGCCGTGGTCTAGCTTGCATTCTTTTGTCGCTGGATGAGATCATCTCCATGACTGAACCGATGTGCGACATGTCCCTTTCATGCAACATGCAGAGACAACTCCCTTGATTCATCGGTTGCATGTGACCGATGGGGCTTTGGGCTTTGGCAGCATTGACGGCTTGCCTTAGCTAGCTGAGCTAGCTTAGATGCGCTGGCGGCCTTGGTGCGGATTGTGGCTTTTTGTTCTGCAGCCTGGCAATTTCAATTAACTAAGTCTAAGTAGCCACTGGTCATTGGTAAGTCGTAGTAACATAGTAAGGAGCACATGCCAATAGCAGTAACAATTTATAATTAGTCGTTCTTCCCCGACAATTGTCCGACCAAACTGGATATCTTTCTCGGCAACAGTCGAGGAGTCTAGAGTCTCTAGAGTCTAGAGTCTAGAGCTTAGAGATCAGTGAATCTAGCTAGTGTTTGGCGTCGAAAAGGCCGGCTCGGGCTAGGAGATTTGAGTATGACTGGGACTAGTGGCTAGGACTAGGACCCCAAGGAAAACTTATGAATTTAAAGCAGGACAGAGGTTTTCGTTATGCTAGGTCGGTGAGGTCCTTTTGTAGCCTTGGCATGTAGTATAATTTAGAGTTTTAGAGGGGTTTGTTATACTGAGTTTAGTGCTATGCCATGCTATACTTACTATACACGTATAGTAGTATAGCATACAATTTGTTGTGAGAAGTGCATGACATAGCAGAAAGATGCGTGGCATATAATAGCAGAGAGCCTTGGTCTCCATCTGTTTCTGAGTTGCTTGTCGACCTGTAGAACTGTGGAACTTTAGAATTTAGAACCTTGCATAATTGTAGACTTGCTTATAACGGTTATAATGAGGCCCATGAAATATGATAATACTCTAGACAATCCAAAGTTTAATGGCTTAAGAATGTAGTCAAAAGAAATATCGGTTTGTAGAATTATTTATTATATTATTATATGGCATATGGATATCCCATATCGTGTGTACTCCACACCACATGTTTCCATCTGAGGCAGGATGGCAGTCCGCGACAGCTCCGTACAAATTGGTTCATCGCCAGCTGAGAATGGACTCCAAGAATGTGCAACAGCAGGCTGCCGCAGAGTCTTCCGGAACGATGGGCGGCACAGACACTGTTGCTCGCTGTGCACACCTGGGATGGATATGCATAGCCGTCGATGCCGACATTTTGACCGTGAGTTTCGCAGAAGCAGAAGGACAGGTTCTGCCGGAATCCAGAACCTTTGGGCTCACGGCTCTGAGACTTGCAATGTTCAGGGCTGTGGACGCTTCAGAAATTATGGCTTCGAGACTTGCTGTTCCTACTGTCTGCAGACTGTTGGTCGCCGTCACAGCCGCCGCTGCAACAGAGCACAGGCTTCGGCAAGCGAGACAGCCCAGGCTGCTTCGACAGGTAGTGCTCATTCTGTTCACAGGGACCCAGCTGTGGCTGCAACGATGACAAGTAGTGATTCTGTCGGTACAATCGCCACAAACATGTCGGCATCTTCCACATGCGCTTCTCATGGGACCGTTTTGACAGCATGGAATACCGGCACCGCAGCATACACTGGTGATCCTGTGCATTCGGGACCGTGCCCTGCAGATCCAGAGCCAGAGCATTCAGTAGGAGAAGCTCCTGCAGATGCAGCCGATGCTGTACATAATACTTCCTTGGACGATATGGACTGAAGCCTG